TATATATATCTATATCAATGAATTTTCATTTTCCTCCTATCAATATGGTGCCGAGGAATCTAATTGTGCTGCACATCGTAAATATATCTATTGTCTCATGTAAATTTATAATTAAGCTGCCAAATCAAAGGTTTCAGCGCTAAATGCAAGTGTTTTTTTTTTCCTTCTTTGTTTGGAAATCTCGTTCTAGCTAGTTTAGGAATTATACATCTCTGAAAATATGAGAAATTATTCCTTGGAATCGAACTATTTCATAAACTTCAATTATGTAAGTTGTCCAAAAAAGCAGAAAAAAAGCCTACCTTATATAGGTACGTGACATACTGTTTGTACAGCATCACTCAAGACGCAATGAATTCAACCTCTTATTGGTGGGGTTGCTATTGAAAATGCTAGAATATTAATCCAGCGCTTTAGAATTTAGATGTTTTAATAAGGGATGTGAATGGGTTGTTTTATGGGTACTTGCGGTATTGATAACGTAGGGTTCAGGTACTTTATATTTGGTTATGAGACAGACTAACGTGCATAAAGTTCGGGTATTTTATATTCGATTATGGGACGAATTAAGGTAGGCTTTTAAAACCCAACACAGATTTGACTAGGTTTTGGGTATGCTTTTAGGATACCATACACTTGAACTCCAATTATATATAATGTTATAAAAGTTTTAAATTTAGTGAGATTTAAACCTTTGTGCTTCTTACTTTAAGACAATCTTTGCCATTTCAATCAACCTATCTTTTTATAAATTAATAAATATAATATTAATTTATATTAGTCTAACTATGGCGTAAATTTAAATATGTAAAATTTTATTACTCGTAGGGAAATTTTTCATAAAATTTCCAAGCACATAATGTAAAATTTTCATACATTTTCAATAAAAAAATTTTTGTAAATAGGCCAAGGTTAGGGGATCAAAAGGATGTAAAATTTTTTGTGATTTAAATTTTAATTATTAGTAAATTACATATGAATTTGTGTAAAATATTTTTTATTCAGGTTCAGGGTTTGGATTATTAAATGGATATCTAAATACAAAAAATTTGCCTTGTATAATCAAGTATTTAACGAAGTCATATAATTAATTGATAATGTTTTACTATTAAGATTCGGTTTTGGATAACGTTTTGCAATTTTATGAGAGTTTTAATAAGGTTAAAATACCTTAATAGTTATATGGTTTCAGAGTTGGATATTTAAAAATTAGTAAAAACTCTACCCGTTTACGTCTCTAGTTTTAATTTAGCTGGAAATCATTCATAATTAAACACCACATGATATATACATATACATATATATATAAAGAAACTAATGAATAACAAATAAAGATAAAATTAAATAAAATTCATGCTTGGTAAGTCTTGAATCTAGATGATAATTATTGAGTTCTGTCTTGATTAATATATTTAATGATTAGCACAAGATAGATAAGTCTCCGCTAAATTAGAGGCTTTTTATCTTTACCCTGTCTCGTAGAGGTAAACACTATGTTATAAAGTGTTCAGTATATAAGATTGTTCATCATTAGATTTTTACCATAATCTTGCAATATGCATAAACTTGAGTACTTAATTAAATGGTTGGTTTTTTTACTCAAAAAAGTGGAGTTTGATCCCTCTTTGCCAAATCAAAAGAAAAAGAAAACCAAGATTTACATTTCTTCTTTTCCTTGGTCTTCTTTACATTTATGGTGTAAAGTGACTCTTGTGATAAAGAAGAGATAATGTTTCAAATAAGTGAACAAGATGTATTGAAAGCGACAGAGAAGAAGACTTAAACAACCCCTAAAGTATTAAGTGTTGCGACAAATGGTGATAGATAAAATGTAGAGAATAGGTAAGCAATAGAGTTAGGTTGAGAATTGAGTGAAGAAGGGCGATGTAAAAGAGAATTTGAAAAAGAATAATTAGAGAAAGAGAGCTTATAGTGAAAGTTTATCTACCTCTTCCCAAGAAATCTTGTTTTTCCAACATGAGTTGTGAAAGCTATATATATAGAGTAAGAAGAAACCAATACTCAAGAGCAGAGTTTGATGCACATATTGAGTAATAGTACTGAAAAGAATTTTAATGTACATAATGGATAACATTTAAAGAAAAGACCTTCAATGTACTTAATGAGTAATAGTTATTGAAATCTCATGATGTGGTCATTGAGAGTAGTGATTTTTTTCTAACATATGACTTTAATGGTGTAATGAGAGTTGCTCTTATGTAAAAGGGAAATGGGAAAAGGAAAAAAAAGTAAGAGGGAAAAGTATGAAAAGGTTAAGAGAAAAACCTTTTAATTATCTTTATATCTAAGTTACCAAGTCGAGCTCTCCAAAATGTTCCTAGGTGAAATTAAAACGTGAATCTTGCCACTTGTTTTAAGCTACTTTCACTACTATCTGCATCATATAGCTGTTTTAGTTATTCAGGTTGCTCTTATTACTCTTTATATAGTATTATGCTTACTATTAAATAACCTGCAGTGAAATAATAAGTTAGTAACTAAATCAAGTATTTATATTTTACCCCCTACATGAGAATTTTTGGCTTTAGAAGTTCTTATGCATCATTAGTAATGTAAAAGTGAAAGACAAGGTGACTTGTAAGAATAAATTTAAAGCTTGAAATATGAAAAAGTTATATGTATGTATGTATGTATGTATTATGCTATAGTGCCTTATGCATGGTGGTATATTGGCGCAAGATGTACACCTTGCATGGTGGCATGCTAATGCTTGTGCACAAGGTCATGTTAATGTCTTGTGTGTATAAATGTTTTGAGCATACACCTCTAACGTTTCTTTCTTATTTTTATGTGAAACATTTTTTTTTGCTTTGTGTATCTTGTTTTGTTGCCCTTTACATGAAAATTACTTTATTGAAAATAATATTTTTTCCACACATGAGGGTATATATATATATATGTATATATATATATAAATTTCAATGAAAGAGCTTAATTAATCTTAAAAAGAAAGTAAATGTTTTCAATGAAAAATCTTGATTCATTATGCCCTATGAATATAAGGTTGTTGTGCATTTTTTTCTAATTAAAAATAAAGCAATATTTAGAGCAAAGCAATGGTTTTTTTTTCTCTATAAATCTGTTTAAACAAATAAGTCTCTTTCTCTCTCTTTAATAAGAGCATAGGAAAAGTTTAAAATTATTTTCTTTTGATCCAAAATCATTAGGACCAAAACTACTTTTTCTTGCTTTTTTGAAATCAATATATTTTTTTCCCATGTATGTAGGGGTTTCTTATGAGTAAGGCCTCCTTACATGCACCTTTTGGGACTCTTGAGTGCAACAGACCTCTTAGGCGATTGGCTGCATGGTTACCTTTGATTGCTTTGCTTTGAATATTGCTTGATTGTAAATTCTCAAAGTGTAACCTGTACTCATTGAAAATCCCTTAATTGTTAACTTCTGTCAACTCTTTCTCATTGCGAGACATTTGTATGTTTTACACGCCTTCTCTAAAGCATTGAATATATTCCATGAGATCCTCCCTAGACTTTTAATGCTTTCTTCCAAGGTCAACAAAAGAAAAATTCTAGACGAATTTTTCTAAAAACATCTTGCATATTTAGTTCCATGATTTAATATAACTAGGGGTGAGAATAACAGACCATATATAAGCTTTTTTGTAAGAGACTTGGAGAACTCTTTCAACTTCAAGTTATCCCCAAATCTTGTTACTCCAAAAGTTTCCATAAATTTCATAACATGTTTTTGTGTATCCTTAATCTTACGATTAACTTGCTTGAACATTGGGCTAGTGTAATCCTTAGGATATGACTTAGCACTTACACTAGTTGGGTAGGCAATGTAACATCAAATTTGAAAAATTTTAAGCTTTTATACTTTTGATTGAGTAACTTTTAAAGCTCTTATTTTGTCAAAAAGCCTTGAATAATGGTTGCGAAAGACCATTGTAGTTGAGGTAATGACTAGGTTAAACATGGCTAGGGGATTGGTCATATTTGGGTTTCTACTGACTGCCACATCAATAATATTTTCTCCATTTCTTGCATTCTCATTTTTTGTTTACAATTAAGATAGTGGCTCATTAGGTGTATTTTCATTACAATTAGGGTGCACATGTTGAGCTAGAGAATTAATGGTAGTAGAAGATACAAGTTGGGATATGATCTTCATAATCCATTTGGGTAACGTTTGGTATAAGGGAAGTGGGAGTATATTCCTTGCAATATGCCCAATTCAATTACATTGCATTATTTGTTTTACTACAAACCATTATAATATAAGATTGTAATGCAATCATATTATAATGTGATCATAATCCAAAACCAATGCAATCAGATTGCATTACACTTTGCAATGTTATTAAAGATATTTTTGTCTTTCAATTTTGTTACTTTGTTAAAGACGTTTTGCAATGTTATAATTTGTTTTTTCATATAGATTTCAAGAGATATCTCTTTGTTACTCTCAGTAATCATTTTTTGTTA